GCTTTAGGATGACTTAGTTAACAAGAGTGTACCAGTTATAAGCATAAGGTTGGGGCTGGATGGGGTATGGATATGGCATAAAGTTCTGAACTGTTGGCACATGAGTTGGGAGAAAGAGAGGTCTTACGTTTGCAATCCATGGCTGGGATGATGGTTGTCCCAGAGCGTCATAAGTAAGTCTCTCCACAGGTTGTGCTCTCCTCTGTGACCTTCTCGGTTCCTCATGTTCTCCATTATTTCCATCCATTTCCTCCATTTGTCCTTGTTCCTCCTGCAACAAAGCTGGTTCAACCATTTGCTCCTCAGCAACTTGCTGTGTGGACACAGGTTCCTGTCTCACTGGAGGGTGAAATTCTCTAGCTGTGGCATTGAGTCTTTGCTGGTTTTGAGGATTTTGCACGGGCACGACAGGTTCTGGTTGCTGAGTGTTTTGGCTTGGAGCATTTTGCTGAGATTTTACAAGTCTGTATACAGGAATGTTGCTCCGGAGGTTATAACGATAAGTGTACTCTTCCTCGTCCTCCGAGCTATCACTGTCTCTTTTGTCATCGTCTGGATTTGTTTCAGTTCTTTTGTCTCTTTTCTGTTTCGACTTTTTGCATACAGGCAGTTCTTCTTCCAAAGGCAAATCATTTACTGGCAATAACAGATTTCTGTGTAACACTCGTATGACTTTACTGCCTCTTTCTGCTTGTACTTTATAGACTGGTCCATCGCCTACTCTCTCGACTACGCGATGTACTTCTGATTCCCAGTACGCACGCAATTTTCCCGGACCTCCTCTTTCAGAGAGGTTCCGAACCAGCACTCTGTCACCTGGTTGGAGAGTGACACCTTTGATGCGTTTGTCGTACTGTTTTTTTCCTTTGCCTGAAGATTTTTGACTGTTCTCTGCGGCGATTTTGTAAGCTACACGCATCCTATCAGCCCACCTTTTAGCATAGGTCTGATGGTTGTGTTTCTCTGTCTCGTTTATTTGATTGAAAAGTAGGTCCACTGGCAATCGCGGAGCTCTGCCGTACAAGAGGAAAAATGGCGAGTATCCTGTTGCCTCGTGCCTCGTGCAATTGTAGGCATGGACGATTTGCGGAAGATGTTCTTTCCATTCACTTTTTTTCTCCTCCTGTAGAGTACGAAGCATTTGGAGTAGTGTACGATTCAGGCGCTCCACAGGGTTGCACTGCGGATGATATGGTGTAGTTCGTGAGTGAGCAATTCCTGACAGTTGTTGTAATCTTTGGAATAGATTGTTCTCAAACTCACGTCCCTGATCATGATGTAGCTTTTCTGGATACCCGAAACGTGGTATGAAGTCTTGGAATATCTTTTCTGCAGCTGTGTTGCCTGACTTATTCTTTGTTGGGTACGCCTGTGCGAAGCGAGTAAAATGGTCTTCAAGTACTAAAATGTACTCGTACCCTCCTTTACTTGGTTCAAGGTGTAAGTAATCAATGGAGACTAACTCGAAAGGAGCACTGGTTGTGATAGATCCCATAGGAGCTCTCTGCTGAACGTTTGGACGTTTTTGTTTGATGCACGGACATTTCTTTGTGACATAATCTTCAATGTCTTGTTGCATATACGGCCAATAAAAACGTTCACGTGCCAGATATACCACTTTATCGCAACCAACATGACCCATATCGTTGTGTAAGCTCTTTAACACCATTGGTTTTAACAGTTCGGGGAGGACAAGTTGTTTGTTATGCTCCGTTTTTCTGTACAAGAGTCCATTGTCAACTTCCAACTTGTTCCACTCATACAGTAGTCTCCTTGTTTGTTTACTCATTGTCCGTTTGTCTTTGTCGTTAGGTGTCCATCTTTTGAGTTTGAGTGAGATCACCTCTTTGATTGAGTCATCTTCCTGTTGAGCTGTTTGAATGTCTTTGGGTGTCATGCTCAAAACACTTTCTGTTGACTCACTTTCACTGGAACTCAGTTGTAGCGCAGCTACCCAGGGTACATCGTTGTTTTGGACTGCCTTACTACCCTGCCACACTGCGAACACTACTTCTGGTAAAACTGTTTCTGTGTACTCGCCCATTTGCTGTTGGAGATCTAATGGGTATCTGGATAACATGTCTGCATCTGCGTTCCTTTTCCCCGGCCTATACTTAATGTCAAAATGGAAGTCTGCCAACTCCCCAACCCACCTATGACCCACTGCGTTTAACCTGGCTGAACTGAGGACATAGGTTAAAGGATTGTTATCTGTATAGACGGTAAAGGTCGGCGCGTAGTACAGATAGTCACGGAATTTATCGCAGATGGCCCATTTGAGCGCTAAGAACTCCAGTTTACCGGAATGTAAGTGGTAATTTTTCTCGGCAGGTGTGAGAGTTCGAGAGCCATAGCCAATCACTTTGAGTTTATTGTCTTGTTTCTGATATAAAACCGCTCCCAAGCCTTGGTTGGATGCATCTGTGTGCAATACAAATGGAAGATCAAAGTTGGGATAGGCTAGAACGGGAGGATTGGTCAGAATGTCCACAAACTTTGACACGACTTCTTGATGTTCACTTGTCCATGTTATTGGTGTGCGTGAAGGAAGTTGTTTTTTGTCTCCCTTCTTGGTGTGTCCTTTACCCCTTTTTGGTGCTGGTTTGTGGTCACTGTTTGTGTCATTCGAGCTCTGGAGAAGTTCAAACAAGGGCCTCGCCAGTCGTGAGAAGTCTTGGATAAACGATCGGTAATAACTAAGAAAACCAAGCAATGTCCTGAGCTCTCCGACTGTGCGGGGTTTCTTTTCTTTTAGAGCAATCACAGCGTCCAAATCCTTTGGGTCAACCTGAACCCCTTCGCCTGACACTAGCCTACCAAGGTAACGTATTTGCTTTTTAAACAGTTCACACTTGGCTGGACGAAGTTTTATACCATGTTGTCTCATTTTACAAAGGACTTGTCTTAGATGGTCAACGTGCTCATCAAAGGTTTTAGAGTAGCAAAGTACATCGTCTAAGTAAGGCACGCAACACTCATCTCTGATTCCTTCTAACACTCCCTCCATGCACCTTTGGAATGCGGCCGGTGCGTTTGTTAAACCGAACGGGACCCGCACCCACTCGTACAAACCCCAGGGTGTGCTAAAAGCGGTTAAGTGCCTTGACTCCTCACTAACAAAACCCTGATGATATGCACTGCCCTGGTCCAATATGGAGAACCAGGTATTTCCTCCAAGGCTGTCCAAGAGATCTTGTATCCGTGGTAACGGATGTCTGTCGGGTATTGTCTTTCGGTTGAGCTCGCGAAAATCAACACATAAGCGTAAGGTGTTGTCCTTTTTACGCACACACACCACCGGCGATGAATAAGCCGACACAGATTTTCTGATCCAACCCCTGTTCAAAAGGTTTTGAACATACTCCTTTACCTCTTTGTAGAGTGGACGGGGAATGGAGTTGTAACTCTTTTGCACGGGTGTGTTGTCAGTGGTGTTGATTTTTAGTTGTAGTCCAGGAATACATCCAATATCCCCTTCCTCACGAGCAAAAACATCTGACTGTTCATAGAGCATTTGTCGAACAGCTTCCTGATCACTTTCTGGGACATGGTCTAAATTGACATCTGGGTGCCATCTCAGATGTGAAGGAGCAGTGCTAAAAGTCTCTTTTTCTTCACTTTGATTGTCACATGACACTTGAGCTGTACAACAGAATAACTGGTTGGTTGACTTGACATTTTCAGGACAAATGTTCACAGGTTTGTACTCAGAAACCTCTTCAATGAGTCCTAACACAGTCTTTGGATGTAAGAAAATGTCATGTTTGGTTGAGTTTTGGATTGGGATTTTAACAGTCTTTGTAGCACCAGGGGGTACATCAACAAGAGCTGAAAATAACTCCAATCCATCAGGTAAGTTACTTTTCACAGAAGGCTCAAAGAGCATTTCACCTCCACCAGGAAATGATCTGATGTGGCACTTTATCATACAGATTTGATTACTGCGAACAGTGAGTCCTTTTTTTCCAACCTTCACGACTGGACTTTCTGGTTCATTTTCAGTTGACTTGGTGTGAACAGCAGAAATGAGTGACTCAACATTGCATTTCTGGACTTTAAGAGTCTCTGACAACAAGTCCACTAGGCTGATATCGTCACTTTTGTCACTGTTTCCCATTATTATCTCTTGGATGACATTAAAGCCCAGCAGTGGAGTGGTTACACTTTGTTGGCTGACAAGCATTGGAACGTACAAGGATACAGAGCCATGTTGTGAGCTTGTGATCTCGAGTAAAACTTCAATCCACCCTTCAAAAGGAACATCTGTCCCATTTGCAGCAGTGACTTTTAGTGGCTGATTGGAAAGCAAACTTTCGAGTGGCTGTATTTTCACATTTGGTAGAGCTGTTTGTACCCATGACTTTTCAACAATGCTAACTTGTGCCCCGCTGTCCAATAACATCTGTAATTTTTCTCCATTTAGCAGACAACTTATCATACATCTACCACCGATTAACTGTGCCACATGCTTTTTGTTTGTTGCATGTGTTTTCTGGGACTTAGGAGTAGATGTTTCAGGTTTCAGTCTCTCAGTGTTGTGGGACTCTGAAGATGGTCCAGTCACTGGTGGCCCCTCCCCAGCGACCTCTTGGAGTTTCCCGACACACTGTTTCTCTGGAGGCAACCGATAGCTCTGTGCCCCTCTTTTCCACATTTAAAACAATGATTGCAATGTTCATTCTCTTGAGCAATACACTTTTGACACTTTCCTTTGACCTCGGATTTTGGAGCTGGCTGTTTTGAGGCAGTTACGGTGGGACGAGTATTTTCAGTTACTGAATTGACCATTGGAGTTAGGGCCTTTTCTAAACTTTTAGTTAGAGTGGACACCTGCGCAGTCAACTCTTGTATAGCAGCACGATTAGCTTGGACTTCAGTTTGCATTTTTACAGAACTTTTGTCTTTTTCTACCTGAGCTGCATTTACGTTAGCAGTTTTTGACTTTGGATTTTGTCCCAATCTACTCTGTCTCTCCGCATCTTCACTTACAGCTTTTGTTATTAGCTCCAAAATGGAGTCATCTGTGACACTTGGGTCTGAGATGTGAGGTTTAAGGTCTCGTCTCACATATGAGCATTTATCATTCATACCCTGATACAGTGAATGAAGGAACACACCCTGTACCAACTGGTTATCATAACAAAACCCACTGTTGTTTTTAGACGCAATCAGCACACGCTGTTTTAGACCCATAAGTCTATACATAAACTGCTGTGGCGTTTCTTTATCATTTTGTTTGGCATTGCTTAGTTCCTGAAATAATTCAGTACTGCTTTTCTCTCGTAAGTGTGCCTTCAAGAAACGTTTCAACTGAGCTACAGTAAGAGTATCTTTGGTGACAAGCATGTCTTTAAAAGTACCAGGCTTGATTATCTTTAACACCGTTCTAATAATCTCAGCCTCTGTGAACCCTTCAGAAAGACCTTCATCAATCTGTTTACACAACACATTGTAACTCAAATCAGACTCAAAATCAGAGATTTGACCACCATGAATCTTGTACTCTCTGTGTGGTAACAGTGACTTGAGTTCGGACAGCTTGACTAAACCTGTAACCGGATCAGCAACTACTGATGGTGAGGATGACTTCACCGTGGTGACCGTGGGAGCAGCAGCCCCGCTGGTCACAGGCGCTACAGTAACCTCGTCTAGGTCGGGCAAACCTCTAGCATCTTCTCCCTCCACTGACGTGGGCAACTGTAGTTCTCCAATGAGGTCGCGGAAAGCGAGCAGGCGAGACATCCCCTGGTCCTCGAGGCTCTTCATGTGTGGACTTCTCAGAAAGTCAACAATGAAGTCGAAGAGTTCCACTTCGGTCGATTCTGCACCTGGCAAATCTTCTTCCACCTCATCTTTGAACGACTCTACCAGCTTGTAGAGAAGATCTCTGTTGCGGGCACTGGTCAGCTGATGAAGCTCTTGCTGGATTTCCCATCTCAGGTCACGTAGCACAGCCATCTCTGGTTAGTTGGGTTCTGTCGCTGTTGTCATCGGCTCAGGAACAGGTGATCAGCTTCCCTTGGTTCTTCAATGATTAGTGCCGTCCAGCAGGTGGCGCTAATCCCGGACGAGCCCCCAAAATTGTTGCTCCTCTGGGGTTCAGAGGGCATACGTGCGTGTGTGCGAAGTACTAGCTTGCCTGTGATAAAAGAATAGAGAGCACATGCGTTTAGCTGTTTTTTTACTTCAGCACAAGAGGATTGTTCTTCCTCTTTACAATCAACAACAACAGCGATCCAAATACAATTACTATTCTAAATGGCCTTCAAAGAGTCCAAAAGTCCATGTGGCCGTAGCTAAATAAGCTATACTAATCACATATGACAATTACAATATTACAATTTCTCCAAAAGTAAGAAAAATAAAATACAAAATGTATTGTATTAACCTTTTTTTAATGTATATTTTTTTACCTTTTTAACTAATTATTCTTACCATGAAATAAATCAATATTTATCTTTATTTCTATTTATCTTTTTAACTGTACAAATATTTATCTTTTTAACTGCGCAAACATACTTTTACTGAAATCACTGTGCTTAATATATAATTAACTAAGCCAATGTCCTTAACTACAAAATGGCTACTCTGTATCTAATACAGTAGTACAATGGCATTACTCGTATTTGGTCATAACCTTCAATGTACACCTTGGTGATAAAAATAAACCCAGTAAGTGTCTCATTGTAATGAAAAACGTTTCATCTATGTCCTAATAATACTCAAATGGTTCTGTGTATATATTGCTTTTTCCCCGCGTTGTAAGTCCCCTACCCTTGACCATTAGCTTAGCAGGTAGCTTAAACACGATTACAATTCTACTAAAAAAAACGTACAAAACTTCGTTCCTGCTACCTTCACACTTGACAGTTCTACCATAACCACCTTATGACTCGGATAATATACCTAAACTTTGCGAACATTTAGTGTTACCAACCTGTGATAAAAGAATAGAGAGCACATGCGTTTAGCTGTTTTTTTACTTCAGCACAAGAGGATTGTTCTTCCTCTGCGATGCCTCAGCTATTCTCTATCAATACGCGTCATGCGCCATCTAGTGGTCAAGGGTAGGGACCACATCTAACTCAAAAGAGATGTATGTAAACCAAATGAGGTTTTATATGAAAATAAAATAATTAAATGACAAAAATAAAAATTATAGGGGTGTCTATTTTTACTTGGACTATTTCCAGGCCTCTACAATATTATAATACATATTTTGTGGGGGTCCACAGAGTGAAAAGCCTTTTACACGTACAGGTGCTCTCCAGGATGAGCCGATGTAGCAAAACAAAATTGACACTAAGTCAAAGGACATAAAACACCCTCTATTAACAGCTGGGAAGGGTCCGTGGTCTGCGTCCTTGTTCAGACTCATGGTTCAGCCTCTGTGTGATCCCCTGGAAGTTCTACTACACTTGCGTAAAGTGGGCCACATCTCGCAGGCAAAGCCGTCTGTACTGCTCACTCCCCTTGTCCCTCGCATCTCATTTGCATGTGTGTAAGATTGTTTGTATAAAAAGTACTTTCAAATAAAGTTTGATTGGATTTATGTCCCTTGCCATGCTGCTGAAGTGACATTCAAAAATGAGGCTCCGTGTATTAATGAACAGCTACTGCTATTAATATACCTGAAAGCTAGTTTTCATCAGTTTTTATACATGTTTTAGTGTTAGGGGAAACTGCCTGAAACACCCGGAAGAAACCTACATAGATAGACACAGGGAGAACAGGCAAACTCCCCTAAGAGAGGCAAACATGTGTTTGTCTGCAGTATAGACTGTATATGTTAACGGGCGTAGTCACGCCTATCTCCACCGTTCAAACTAATGGGCCAAAAATTGTGCTCTACTGGAGCTATCCAAAATGGCCGCGAGTGGTCCCGCCCACAAGAAAATTGTGAAAAAACTAGGGCTGTTATTGCGTTAATTCACGTTAATTACTGTTTTCATTAACGCGTTAAAAAATAATTAACGCATGTCCGAATGACCCGCCCATTTATAATAATATCACTCAGTATGCCGCGGACACGTGCGTGTGTGATAGTGACAGCGGTAACGTGGTCATATAATACACACATATATATACGCACAGGGGCCATTCTCTGATGTTGTGTGACACACGGAGGAGAGGAGGAGACACGCTGAAATGCAACCAAACTCGCAAAATTAAAGCTGGGGTACCTACATTTTCCCTTTCATTAACAGCTCTTGTTGGTTGTACCCAAAAGTAGAAGGTTGTGAGCAAGTCAAACAGATTTAAGTACATTTGGTATGAATAACAATGTGTCAATGAGATTTGAAAATCTCATTTAACTTCAATTGGAGTGGATTTGAAATAGAATGTTAAAAATGCGATTAATCGTGAGTTAACTCACCATTACTATGCGATTAATCAACAACAAAAAATTAATTGTTTGACAGCCCTAGAAAAAACGCATCTGCGCATGCGTCAGCCGGCGAGAGTTCCATTCATTTGAACGAGAGACTTCAAAAATTCACAGTAAGTAAACTAGAGTGGTCCAAAAATATTCACCCCCCTCAGCATTGACACACATGTGGAACGGAGCTTCGGGCCAAGAGCCAACTTTTGGTCCATCCTGTAAAAACGTTTTTGAGAGGTCTGCCAATGCTATATGTTAGCATTGGCTAATTCTACTTCTGGGTCCACCCCCATCGGCCCGGGGTGGTATTGCAAGCATGTCAGCGCATGTCATTTTGGCCACTTTTGAGCCGGGACCCGCCCCCACTGGTCTGTAGGCAGGATTGGGCAAAAACCACTGGATGGAATGGTGCCCTCCTATTGGCTGGTCTTCTTTTTTTATGGAAATATTGATACATTATGATACATTGAAAATGACTGAAACTAATTTCAATGTTGCTGTCTGTGGTGCTGAAACAACTGACAGCATAGCCCAGTTTTCTACAGTCTATAGTTAACATCACACAACCAGACAAACAGCAGCACATGGGGGAGACGTAAAAAGAAGATGTGTCCAATCCAATAAACATTTATTTGTGTAGCACATATTACCAATACAAAGTTTACAAATTACGGCATTTACAAAGTATAAAGAAACAAAGGCATTCATAGAAATATTAAAAAACTACGCTAGCAAGAATAGATACTAACTAAAGCCGCAAGCGGTGTCTAAGGGCCCTCGCCGCATCTCACCAAGAGCTTGTCCCAGCTCTGAGTGAGTCAGCCACCCCCACACCTTTTAACCGATCACAATTCCAAATCCAGTTAGCTACACTTTGTCAGCATCAGATTTTCCTCCGACAGTCACTCTAGATATGTTGAATAGCCCTTGAAAGTGGTGCTTAAACAAGTCACTCAGGATACTGAAAGTAATTGGTCATTCAGGCAACGTGATTTCCTACTGAAATGAACAAGTGGACCCCAAACATGTCTGTGAAGATTACTCTGAAGATGACTCTGTAACACTGCAGAGCTTTGAGTGAATGGACGTAGCACTTTGTGGGATGTCAACAAACTTGTAAAGCATAGTAGAAGTTTAAGCCATTATCATTGCCCTTTAAAAAAATCATAAGCCAACAAGGGTGCTGGTTCCATGCCCTTAACCTTACCATCAATGGTATTCTGAATATGAAAAGAAGAGGGGAAATAACATGGGGCCGTTGGAAGTTTTGGGGGTGGCTGCAAGGGCTTTTATTGCCGCTTGCAGCTTTATTTAATAAGTATAGCTTAGTCATAATGAAAACTGTGGCACAATCACAGAGTTTTCTTCAGCGTGGAAAGAAAGGTTAATTACCAGGATTCATTACCACAATTTAATAGACAGGAAGAACTCATTTGTTAGGAATAGGCCAGAAATAATTGTCATGATGACTTTTTGAATATTTTTATCGGTTTTATGGTTGTTATATGTTGGTTCTCTTGTAGTTTGAGTTCCCATCTGCCCTGTTGATTGTTGGTCCCGCCCTGATGTGTTTCACCCATGTCTCCCTTTGTGTGTTTGCATCCTGTGCTATTCCCCACTAGTTTTCCGCCTCCACCACATTTGTTCCTGTCTTGTTTTGGTGTTTTTTTGGTACAGTACTCTGGATTTGGATTACAGTCCTGCCTTTTGGGCTCCTTTTTTCTGCACCAGGTGACAAAAAGATAAGATAAGATAAACTTTATTGATCTCACAATGGAGAAATGTACATGTCACAATTGGCATAGATAGAATCACTCAGGGTGTGCAAAAAGGCAGGAAGTGTGCAAACATGTTAAAAGGTTAAAATATAGTCTATATTGGATACTAAATATAGTCCCTAATAGATACTCTATATACTGTATGTAACGTAATACAGAATATTTGGCAAGCAGCGTATATTCAAGTAAGGACAGACAACTCAATACTCAGAGAAGCCTTTTGTCAACATGGGGCAGGATGCAGAGAGAAATACTGTGGCTATTAGGGCTTGTAGGCGTGCAGCGGTACTGGTCAGGGTGTTAAGATTGAATAACTGATTAGAATGGATCAATGACCATATGTATCATTGTTGTTTGATAAGCTGAAGATAGCCCTGGAGAAAATCAATGGGGTACGTTATTGATTTGTACATTTCTTATAAGGTTGTGCTGATGACAACTAAATGTGTGTCAGTGAGCTGTAATAATTTAGCCGAGCAGCTTGAATCAATACGTGCTTCAGGAATGATTTATGGGATCATCAAAAATAACTTTCACTAATTACATATGAATGTGTAAAAACAGGTTTATTAAAACCACTGTTAATCATTGTATGAAGAAAGGGGCAGGCAACATAAGATTTTTTTTTTCTTCTTTCTGCTCCTTTTCATTTGTGAGACAAGACGACAATTATTTGAAATTTAATTGTAATATGTGTAGTATTGTTTTTGTCTACAATTGAAACAAATAAATAAATAAATCATTAAACTGAGGTAAACGTGTCTTTTCCCTCATGGGTCGCATGAGGGTCGAACACA